TGGCCCAATGCAATGGCGGGGTGGAGGGCAGAGCTATTGTAGGAGCGGAAGCGTTGAAGAATATGTCGTTAACAGTTCCTTTTACCGTATTTTTCACTCATATTTTTATGCGCAAGGCCAAGCGGGGCATATCATCGTATCATATTTTGGGTGTGGTTCGATCCGGTCATAAAAGTGTTTGATATAATTAAAAGAGGAGACAACTTACGGGCCACGATCATAATTAACCTCAAAACCAAAGGGTAAATAAAAAGCAAATTGCGTATCGTGTAATGACGCCCTCCTAGTTTTGTCCATTTATGTATATTCACTCACGTTTTTATTATAATAGTTAAATTTGCAGTTGCGTTGTTACTTACTACAACCATTACACAACAAAACACGCGTCACACGGATGATCACTTATCCAACGTTTGGATGTTACGCAAAATGAATCGAAACAAGGACCCGTCGTAGTATCTCAGCGCTACCTCGTTTACCAGCTTGCGTGTTTAACGATCATGCAGTGTCTATAATCGCTGGCTGTTCCAAATAGCATCTGAGATTAAGCGAACCTCGGAGACGATTCGTCACAGCGCGCGCCGCCATTTCACGACAGGGTGAGTGACTGAAATTACCCCGTGCGTCGCCGTTGGGGCCGGGCGGACGGCGGGTCCGGCGCTGACGGCCTTCAGACGGCGGTCTGAGGTCGGCCGACGGCGGTCGATGGAGTCACCTGGCGCGCGGTCCGCTCCGATTACACGGCGTCGCCCGCTCCACAATGGCAAGGGAATAGACCGACTGGAAAAGGAGCTTATAAATCACATTTGCCACGAATGAGTGACTCATAACAGCCATGAATGGAACCGGTGTAAACGATGATAACAAAACCTGACAGCTGGCCGCGTTCAGGCGGGAAAAAGTCATTTAAAACGGATTGTGGCTAGCGAGCAAACAATTGCTGAATTATATGCGCAGCAGACTGCGAAATTGGTTTCATTCTTATGGCATCGATAAACTTTTCGCCCAGTCTCTTGCACTTCTGTAAATAAAAGTATCGTACTGAGATCAGCACACAGCCCGTGAAATCCCCGAGCTAAGTTAAAATTTGCCTCATGAAATTGCTTCGTAAATGGTCAACGGCTAGCAAAACGGTTGTGGACACCCCTGATGCAATATTAAAAAGAAATGAAAACGCCACATGTGTAACTAACAGTCATTTTAGTGGCCACACCATTAAAAGGAATGTTCACATTTGCATGAAATTTTGAACTTAATTGGCCATCTTGACGATTACTCGGTACAGTTCACAGCCCCAGCCTTCTTAAGACCCGAAACCCCCATAGTTTTTTTTGCTACACGCCCGCTAAGATAGGCCAGAATATTTCGGAAGACTTTGACGATAACCCCAGGCATCCATGGCGCAATAATGCCATTCAAATCCTACCACTCCATCAGCCGTGCGGCAATCAAGGCCAGGAAGATTGTGATTGTCGAGTCGTTTCATTATCTCGCGTTCGTGAGCACGATTCTCAAATATATCGGCCGTCCACTGGCTCTCAATCATTGTTGTGCAAGGGTGCAAAGCAAAGGCCTGATGCTAACAATGCGTATTGAGGAGCACATTTACTAATCAGAGGCGTTGTGTTGTCTGGAGAAGTCTTTTCCACTCGAAAGTATACCAGTAGATATCAGTGAGCTTATTTCATCATGAATGATGCTTTCCTCAATGCCTCTGAATGCGGAACATGTGTTTCAATAGGGGAGCCAAGGTATCAAAGTTTTTTTAAAACTACTTTCCACGCTTAGCTCAGTGTTGGTGCTAAAGGGTTCATACAGATGACATAATCGCTCTTGACTTGAGTGTTTGCGGTGGACAATCACACTTTCTGTTTCACTAAAATGTCGTAAAACGCGTCAATATTCACCAAAGACGCTGGAAATTGGGGCTTCCTCGATATGTACCGAAGTCAGTGACTGAAATTTACACTTGCTGTATCAGCGATTAACTATTTTCAAAAGCCACCAACCAGAGAGTCGACGAAAAGAGACTTTCAAGCCCGTAAATGTTTCCGTTCTTGATAAATATATGCAATTCATGGCAGCACAGTCGAAACAAATGTCATTGTAGAACTTAATGTGCATGCAAAATTATTGCACGTATAGCCAAAGTTATAGTATGGCTGATAACTCTAAAACAAATCGCTGGCAGAACACAGTTGGGGAAATGCTATTAAAAGGCCTTATCGCACCAATGTTTCAACAAAGGTACTTAAACTGAGGCTGCCTCGATGTATTCTGAAGTCAATGCCTTAAAGTTACATTTGCCGTTCCAGGAATAATTATTTTCAAAACCACACCAACTCCAAAATCGACAAATATCTCAATGAAAGTGCATGGCATTTAGGGTTGCACATGAAAAGACTTATGGCCAATACATTGTAGCGAAGAGAACGTTTTGCTAAGAGGGGTTGAGCTGGGTTTTGGAAGGGCATAAGTGAGGCATTCCTTCATTCATTTGCTCGTCAATGTTTACATCTTATGCCACGGCTTTAGGTCGCTCTGTACATGCGGCACAACCATATCAATATGTGGCGAGAAAATAGTACTTCCAGGTTCCATAACGAAATCCTGCACAAAAACAGCCTTACTCATAAAACCCTGCCCATGGAATATTGCAGAACATTGGCATACTGGGACGGGTACGATCAATGTGTGCGGTATTCAACTGTGACGATGACCATAAACACAAGCGAGACATTGTGTGCATAGCAGAGCATACAGTGCTTCAAGTGCACGAAAAAACGCGATCTATTCAATACCCGCACCCTTTGCTGCCGTGGTGTCTCTCAGTATCACACCGTTTCAAATGCGATTTTCAAACGCAGCGCAGCCATTTTTAATGGTTATAAACTAGGCTTTAATATGTTAGCACTATCCAGCGCTGTTATGACATCCAAGGTGATCGCTCTTTAAGAGTCGCCACCAGGTTCTCACTTTCCAGTGCCCCCAATCAGCAACCACCGACTGTTCACGATGATCTCTTTGGGACAAGCCGGCTGAACTTTACCGCCATCTGAACAAACGTCATCGCAGGCGTCTAGGGCACTCCCCAGACCGGAGACCTCTGTAAAAGCACCCGGGCGTCTACGGTGCTCTCATCAGCGACAGTCGGCTGAGCTCCTCCGAGATCCCGAACACCAAGTGGATTGAAGAGGGGCGACACTACGGAGGGCAAGCGAAACCATTCCGGATATCGGCTGCTCTCGATATTGTTGGATCGTGACTAGGTACAACTCCTTGTTATTCCGTGGACGAGTTGCCGGGAGGGTTCTCATGGCCCCGCGACCTGCGACTTCGATACGAACGTCGTCGAAGGGCGATCGTGATTTCATGTCGCAGGGCGTTCATAGATTTCCGCCACAGGAGCATGATGATCATAGACAGGGTATGATCAGCCGCGATCCCGCAATTCTTGACAGGGAACCACGCCGGCGAGTTCCCGTGATCCCGTGATGCAGCATCGCCGTGGGCTGTGGTTCTCGCGATTTCGTGACACAGATCTGCCGTGATACCTTCCCCCCCCCAGGCCCGGTGAAGAGCTGTCGCGGTGAAGCCTCGGCCTGCCCCCCCCCCCCCAGCCCGGTGAAGAGCTTGTCGCGGTGGAAGCCTCGGCCTGCCCCCCCCCCCCCCCCCCAGCCCGGTGAAGAGCGTCGCGGCGAAGGCTCGGCCTGCCGCGCTCGTGCGCCGCAGCCAACGCCGCCCCCTGAAGTTCAAGTGCGCATTCTGCCCGCGGGCTGGAGACGAACTTGGCTCGCCAGTGAAAGTGGAGTATCCCCGGGCCCGAGAGGCGTTCACGCGGCCGGTCACGTGACACGGGGAGGGTACCGGTGTGGAGGTCACGTGACCGAGGAGGCGCATCCTCCGGTAATTATGCTGCGGCCGTATAATAGTATCGCCCCGCAGTGCTGGGCAATCAGTTGTGCTCGGTCCCAGTCACAGCAAGGATGAACGGCTTTATCGTTTTTTAGCGGTGGAGTGAAAGTCACACAGAAGACCAAAAGAGAGGATCGAAAGGAAAACGGCCTACTTTTCTCGTACTAGAGTCCACTGCTTTTTCCTTAACAGCTTGTCAGTGCTCTAAATCTGAACGAATGAGGTCCAAAAATTTCCACAGTCATAATTTATTGAAATTCAATTATCAAGCCCTTTGGACGACTCTTCGAACGAAACTTTGGACGACTCTTCGAGTATCGAAAAGAAAACGGCCCTACTTTTCTCGTGCTAGAGTCCACTGCTTTTTCTTTAACAGCTTGTCCAGTGCTGTAAATCTGAACGAATGAGTCCAAAAATTTCCACGATCATAATTTATTAAAATTCAATCATCAAGCCCTTTTGGGACGACTCCTCGAATGACCCATAATTTTGCAAGTGCTGAATTAGACACTTGCATTCCGAGGTTGGGACATTTGGAAATAATTTTCGGCCCTATCAAATAGACTTCAAGTAAATTCAAGCTACGAGGGTTAACTGGGACAGGTCATCTTCTCAGTACGCGAAACTTGTGTTCTTGTTATACCTTAAAACGCAAACAGTTTGGAGCAATCGAAGTTTTTCGTTGAAGTTGCCGTTCTATGCTTTTTGTTTCTCCCGTGCTTTTTTGGGCACTCACTTAATACAGCGGCATTCTAAATTGTGTCTTTAGCTAAGACCCAATATGCAACCATGTTTTTAAAGTTAAATGCTTCAGTCATACGCCATTTGCATCGCATAGTGTTGCCATTCCCGCTTGGTTCGTTTTGAGGCTTAGCAACTCACTGATTCGTATCCATAATTATTTTCTGACAAGTTTCGCAAATCTTACGGCGTGTTCAAGTCAGCTAACTTAGCAGGACCGTACCTTTCCAACGGGTCTGGTCTGCAGCGGCGCATGTCCAGCTCTGTGCCCCGGTTGGCTGTTCTCTCTGTGCGCCATGGACAGCGCTTCTCGCAGGATCATACCCTTTTAACGGGTCCGATCCGCTGTGGCGCGTGTCCAGCTCTGTGCCACGGCTGACTGTCCTCCCCGTGCGCCATGGGCAGCGCTTCTCGCCCTGGCTGCGGCTCAGGACGGGTACAGCTACGGCGCGCCCGAGACCGGCTACGACTACAAGGAGCCGGTTAACCCGCAGGGTTCCGGCAACACGCCCGGCGGCTCCGTCATCAAGGTAACGCCACGGCGGCTTGACCAGCTGGCTGTTGCTTTTGCCCTGGCCTTAGTTTTGGAAGACCACAGACGAACTATGCAGAACTTTGTAGGGCTTGCTTTTTCGCGAGTAGCTCCATGCAAGCTGCAGTGTTTTGCTTCAATTTAAGTGCATCTATATCTCAAATGAAGGTGCATTACAATATTTGTAACAGATTTTCGTCGTGTGTACTGCTCCACCGTTTCAAACATAGCAAAGCATAGCATTTCAAGCATAACGGCAGCCTCAACGACGTAGCTGGAAACCGATCTCAGGCCGTGATAGTCCAGCGATACCACCCGTCACCCCGTCTCTGCCCTCCCTCCTGACTCGTCCGCACTAACCAGGCCCGCTGACCAAACGGGCCCGCCCCGCGCCATCCTCGCGTGGTCGGAGCCCATGGCCATGCACCTAGAGCCGTCCGATCTCCACCGTCCCCTGAGAGGCGCCGAGGCTGTTCGCCGCACCCATCGCCGCATCCCTGAGGGTCCGCCCCGCGGCCGTGCTCCCTGTCAGTGACCACTTGACCGTCTGACCGTCGCCGCAGCCTGCCGGCGACGAGGACCACCACCACGGCGGCTCGAGCGACCCGCTGCAGTGGCTGCGTGACTCTGTGCCCGGCGAGCCCGGTGTGGATTACCCCATCTATGCCACCATACCGCCGACCAGCTTCAGCTGCGACGGACGCGTACCCGGTGAGATCACACACGGAAGAGAGGTCCGACGGCGCCGCCTGTCTGGCTGTCCCCAGGTCCGACGGCGCCGCCTGTCTGGTTGTCTCCAGGTCCGACGGCGCCGCCTGTCCGGTTGTCTCCAGGGTCCGACGGCGCCGCCTGTCTGGTTGTCTCCAGGTCCGACGGCGCCGCCTGTCTAGTTGTCTCCAGGTCCGACGGCGCCGCCTGTCTTGTTTGTCTCCAGGTCCGACGGCGCCGCCTGTCTTGTTGCCTCCAGGGTCCGACGGCGCCGCCTGTCTAGTTGTCTCAAGGGCTGATTCGGCCTCGATCGCCTAGCTCCCGCAGTGTCCGTGTCTTTGCTGGCGAGAAATTCTGTGGTCAGAGCTTGAAGATGACACCAGTGGTTAGATCTCGCCGATTTGTGCTAATGATTTTGCTCGTCGCGCCGATATCGTGATCGCCAGAACGATATCGTGCATTCCTCATACGTCAGACTAATACCTGCCCCTACCTTTGCCCGTCCGACAGGATATTACGCTGACGTGGAGGCCGGCTGCCAGCCGTTCCACGTCTGCAACACCATGGTCGGCGACGAGTCGATGAAGCTCTCCTTCCTCTGCCCCAACGGCACCATCTTCAACCAGGAGGGCTTCGCCTGCCAGTGGTGGTCGGACGTGGACTGTGCCTCGGCCGAGCAGTTCTACAACAAGAACGAGGAGATCGGCAAGGTGCCTGAGTCGGGCCGCCAGCAACAACGTCAACAGCGTCGTTGGCGGGCCAAGCCAGCCGCAGAACTCTTACCAGCAGCCACAGAACTCCTACCAGCAGCCTCCGTCAGCGCCCCGCCCCCAGGCGCCGCGTCCTCAAGCTCCTCGCCCCCAGACGCCTCGCCCCCAGACTCCGCGTCCCCAGGCGGCCCGTCCCCGCCCCCAGGCGGCCCGTCCCCGCCCCCAGGCGGCCCGTCCCCGCCCCCAGGCGTCCCCGTCCCCGCCCCCAGGCGCCCCGTCCGCGGCCGCAGGCAGTGCGGCCGGTGCCGAACCAGTACATCCCTCCGACCACCACCACGACGACCACGACCGTTCGCCCGCCGCCCGGCCTCTACAACCTGCCCCGGAACTAGACCGTCGGCGCCACCTCCCAGCTCCGGACCGCCCACCGAGTGAGCGCTGGCCGGCCGCGCGGCCGCCCGCTGCCATATTTATCAGAGTGAGTGCGCGTGCGAGTGTGCCGCCGAGGGGTCGGCGTGGTCGGGCCGACGAGACCCGAAAGTGAGTGGTGTCAGGTGTGAAATGGGCGCGGGTGCAGAAGTCGCGGTCCTCGGCGCCCGCTGCGGGAGGCATCCTTTAGAGGGCGTCTTTCTTCTTTGCTCAGTGTTCCTTTTGGCTTGTCTAGTCATAAGCATCGAATGCGAGCGGTTTGTCCCTCGGATGTTCACACATCCCACGGTGACATTCCAGGAAAAGAGGGACAAATACATAGATACAATGCACACGAACGACGACTTTGTGAAGCGATTCCCGAATGCAAAACGGGACTTCAGCCATACAAGCTGTCCGGCCTTTATCTCGAACACCTGTCGGTTTAGTCAGTGCGCACGACCGATCATTACAGCTGCACAGGCACAGGAACTCTTCCCTACTCCCACCAAATGTGCCTGTCGCGTGGTCCTCTCTACGAGCCGTAGGAAACGGATTGGCTGCACGAGGAGCACTGGGAGGCCCACAGTCGGGTGCTGTACACCGTCCGCTTCAGTTGGGATCGGAACAAAGCTCGCCAAAAAAAATCACAAACACCGCGCCATACGTGTCAGACTTTGTGATAGATGCCACCTCTACGTGGCGGCATTGAAAGGGAAATCTGAGGCACGATCCATTGATTCATCATCCGGGCGAGCAGCGGTGGCAGCGCAGCCGTCCATTACTGCTCTCTGCAACAGGAATATTGTTTTCACAGGCGTCCGCACGGTACAACCTGAGGGGCGGGTCGCCTAATAGCTGCCGTAGCCAGCGCGTAAACACCGCAAAAAACATGAGCACGAGATGCGCAGTGACAGGTGTTGCCCACCTGGCTCCGTGCACCTCGGTGTGCGGTGCACTACTCCCCAAACAGGCGTGGCCCCGCACGCGCTCTCTGAACACGTCATTGTGCAGCCGTCCGTTCGGGTCCGACCCGAAGGCGCCCACAGCTTGACGAGCGGACCTGCAGCTCAGAGTTGAGGATGAACGCTACGTGCCGAGCAGGGCAAAGCGGGGCCGACGAAAACCGCGCAACGCGGCTTTCGGCCACGTGAGATTTGTCCGAATGTCTGACACGTCTGCCTCAGATCTGTCAGTGGATGGTCTATCCCGTCAATGTCGCTTTGAGAGGGTGCATTCAGACCAGAACAGATCAAAATGGATGGATATGCTAGCTGCACTAATATGGTTTGCGCTGCAAGATGTCTTCATTCAATTCGCTGTATGGACAGCTCACATACGTCTGAAAATCAATCCGTCAGATCGTTAAGAGCTATTGCCATCTAAGCATTACAAGCAACGCTGGGTGCTAGAATACAGGGCCGCGGCAAAAGGCGATGGCGTGTATTGCGTGGAACCAAGTATCATAAGCCATTGAGAAACTGAGACGAAGCAGATCATGCTACTTAGCTATTCAGCGCAGCGTATTAGGCTCCTCTTCATTACGAATGTTGATTAATCTGAATAAAAACAGCACTGGCTGGCGTCTTGGTTTGTCCTGTCTACCTAGAAAGTGCGCTCTGGGTTTTGTCTGTCACAGCTGAATCATTTTGGAGATCATTAACGTTGAACCTGAATACACTCTGTGCTAAATGACACACGTGCGATGTGACTGCAGGGCTTTTATTTCGATGTCATGATCCATATCTTGTTAGGTACGCTGCGCCAAATTCGTGACGCATTTTCATCGCCTCAAAAAACCTTCATTGTCAGGTCCATGATCCTTATGGCTACGCTTAGTCATCAGCATGGATTGTCGAAGTTGAAGTGCTCTAATATTAAAATAATGTCCACATCAGTCTGACAGGCTGACTAGCATCTAAACAAAAACGTTAATCTACATCACAGCGTCACTCGACTTCCACCTACAGGCGTTGCGCGGGGGTGTTTCGGATGTGGTACTCATGACATATCTAAGGGTACGCCTGCGAGGACGGTCGCGAATTGAGGACGTGAATCACGCATGGTGAACGGCACCCCTGCGTCCCATACGCCGGATCACAAAACCGCATTGCAAAGCTTTGTTTCCTATCATGTGGGTAATCACATCCTATCACATCCTAAGCAGCATGTTGCGATCTCATTTCTTTATGGGCAATATTGCATATTTATTTTGCCTATGGCTTAGTCATGTTGTATGTCAAACTGTCCTACACACGATTCGAGAGACACGGCATTTCTCTACACCAAATCACGTGTTACTCTGTGTGCACATGAGTAGATTATCCTGCAGTTTGTAACATCATGTTTGAAAGGACACAAACATAAATGTGCTGGGACATGCCCGTTAAACATTTCCCGAAAAAAACTCTCTGATCCTTCCAGCGTTTAACAGCTTCTTCCGCATTCCGTAATCCCAGAAGCGCATGTTTACTTCCTGAACTGAAGTTCCAGGATGACACCTCAAGCTTAGCCAATAATTACAGTTTATCGATCACCAGTCAGTTGCATATTTGTTCACATGCAACGCAGTGATATAACCAATTGGAGAGAAAATAGCTGAAGGCATGCAATCCATAAATGTTGTGCAGGTTGTGAGCTACAAATTTGTGAACTATGAACTTCAGAAACACGAAGAAGAAATCGTGGGGAATCTGACTTCATATCACTATCGAACAAAAGTTGTTTGCGTTTTGAGTCATTAAGGCTTTTTATCTTATTATGTCGATCCACTCAAATGTTCAGAACTTACGAGAGACAGTGTGATATGTATAGGTGCAGATATGTTTTCTAGCTAGTCATCTGTTAGATGTTAAGACTGAAACACCGTTACTCAGAGGTTGCCACCGACAGGAAGTTTTCCGTGCTGGCGTCACTTCTCATTCGCAGGGCAAGCCGATTATCGGCAAACAACGAAAATCATGGGTAATGTCGGAATTGTTGCTTTGAGCATATCTTGCTTGTGAAAGTTGCTTGGTATCGGTTTTCCAAACACATTACAAGCGTCGATGTTTTGAACTACTTTGACTTTTACAACTTTAGTTTATTTGGAAATATTTTTCAACATATTCTGGTGATGTATTAGAAATGGTTTGACACGAACCTGGCGCAACTTTTTCTATGTACTAGATAGTTTTGAACGATATTTCGCATTTATGCACATCACCATCATGAGTTCATAGTACTCCAGCTTCTGAGGCTGAGGCTCAGCCTCATGCGTGGAGCACATGAGGCTGAGTTGTTGACCTTCATATGCTAAGAGTTACTGGTTGAAATATTGACAGTGCTTGACCTGTCAGGCTGGGCTTGTAATCACTTAATAATTACTCTGAACTCATATTGCCGAAAAGTCAGGAGTTATAAGTCTTTCTTTTTAAATCGCACACCTCAGCTCAGTTTTGAGCCTGCATCCATCTGGACGATACGTCCTTACTACCCCCTACAATAAACAATGGTGAGACATGCTCAGTTAGGGGGGAGGGGGGCGGCCCGATGACACCACGTGCTTATCAATCCACATTTCTCCCTACTTCCCCTAATTATCACAACTCTGCTCAACACTCTTTCCAGCTTAACAAATTCATCGCCGTCAATCGCGTGATTCATTCAGGTAAAATGGATGGTTTAGTTATCATCCAACAATTTTTTCTCTCCTGCCTGTAATGGGTTAGGCGAGACACTACATGCGCCAGCCTCAACGGCATATACTCACACCTTTAGCGATTAATCCATAGAATGCGTACATATATATATATATATATATATATATATATATATATATATACACTCATGCCAAGGATGCATCCTCATGCCTCTAACGATTAACCCATAGAATGCGTATATATTCTGCATGATAATGCATTTCAAATGAGGGCTTTGCGTACTCGTATTTTTCTTTTCAAACTGGTTTGTTGAAGGCAGCACAGTAATTTCGAAAAAAGATCTTTTCGTGTGCCTTTTCTTGGTTTCAGAACAAGGGAAATATTATAGGGAACGTAAACGTGCCTAAGCTTAAGTGTGCATGTATATACATATACGTAGACTCCTGCAGATATTCGATGGAGAGCTACCATCTTGACCTATCAAAAATTAAAATAATGGAATGTAAAACTTACGGTCACCTAGCATCGCATGAGATGCTAACTCGACATGAAGGCGTCTTTAATAAAATGATAATCGAAAATGAATTGCCGCAGCCTTACAATATGGTCCAATGCGGCTTCCAAATAAGCCGCACTGTGTCGGCGATTTCATTAGCGTAACCGCATTGTCGTAGCCGAGAGCAAGCGGCGATTACGCGCCGCTGTGGACGGTGACGGACGGCCGGTATTGATCTCCGGGCAGGGCGATCTCGGCGTGACTAATTACTGGGCTGTGGTAATTCACAGCTGAGACCGCTGACAATTGGCTGCATCCCACATTCCAAGGTCGGCACCGGCCTCTCGATGAATGCCCCGTATCTAGGCCAGCGGCCGTCGCTGAACAATGTTTGGCTACGCGCGTCATGCTTCCTGGCCGAGCGGGTGGGGTGCACGGATCGCACGAGCGGATGATAGAGCGGACGACGGCAAATGACGGGAGTCGCGTGTCCCGCGGTCGCGATGTCCTCACGGATCAGAGGTCGACCCTGGCGTGGCTAGGGGGGAGAGGGGGGGGGGGGGCTAAGGGTGTGTTGCGGGCGAGACGTCGACGGATTGGTCGATTTGGGGTGTAATTGCGAGGTTCGATCGGCTTCGGCCAAGGCTAACTCTTTGATGCGCGCCCAGGTGACGGAGCTGATGACGGGGGAGACGGATCGTCGGCGACGGTCACCTCCAGAGCGGGCCGTAGCGGTGGTCCCGTGTTCGCCAGTGGGGAGACGGATCATCGACGGGGGGCACCTCCAGAGCGGGCCGTGGCGGTGGTCCGTGTTCGCCAGTGGGGAGACGGATCATCGACGGGGGAT